AACTCCTGAGCTCAAGCGATCCTCCCACCTCAGCCTCTCAGAGTGCTCCCCCCCCATTAGCTTCCATCACCCCCCTGAAAAGCCTTCCAGAGCTGGGTGGGAGGCTCCTCTGGCTAGTGGCTCCCTGAGCTTCCTTGATGGTGTGGTGAAGCCATGATACCCCGGGTTTGTCCTCCACCCGACCCTTCCTCCACTAAATTGCCTCCCAAGGGCAGGGCCTGGCTCTACTCCTGCAGGCGGTCCACGGTCAGGGCCTGGCATAAGCTCCAGGAGGTTTGTCAATAGATGTGGAAGAAAAGCTCTCTCACAGCCTCTGCCCTGATGAGGTGACCTTGCAGGGCAGGAAACTTAACTGGCACATTTATTTATTTATTTATTTGAGACAGAGTCTCACTCTATTCCCCGGGCTAGAGTGCCGTGGCGTCAGCCTAGCTCACGGCAACCTCAAACTCCTGGGCTCAAGCAATCCTTCTGCCTCAGCCTCCCAAGTAGTTAGAACTACAGGCATGCGCCACCATGCCCGGCTAATTTTATCTATATATATTTTTAGTTGGCCAATTAATTTATTTCTATTTTTAGTAGAGACAAGGTCTTGCTCTTGCTCAGGCTGGTTTTGAACTCCTGAACTTGAGCGATCCTCCCGCCTTGGCCTACCAGAGTACTAAGATTACAGGCGTGAGCCACCTTGCCTGGCCTTAACTGGCACATTTAAGATAAAATTGCAACTCTCCATCCAGGCTTCAGGGCCCATGGCATGGCCCAAGCACCTCTTGTACCTCATCTGCACTGCATGCCTCTTGCTGCTGGCTTTTCCATTCCCTGAGCACACCATGCTGTTCCTGCCTCATACACTTTGAAGTGTCTGGTCCTTTTGCGTCTCTCTTTATTAAGCATGTGACAAGGGATATTTTACTTCAGATTGTAGGTTGAAAGCCCCCTCCTGGGGAAGGCTTCCCTTGTTCTGTCCATCCCACCTAAAGGGGTCCTCGGGTCACTAGCCAGCATCACTGGTTGCAATTATTACTTAAAAAATTTTTTATTTTTAGAGACAGAGTCTTGCTCTGTTGCCCAGCTGGAGGGCAGTGGTGCAATCATAGCTCACTGCAGCCTCCAACTCCTGGGCTGATCCTCCTGCCTCAGCCTCCCAAGTAGCAGGGACTACAGATGTGTGCCACTACCCCAGCTCGGATTGTGATTATCTTCATGTCTGACATTTTCTTGTTAATTTATTAGAACATTGTTCCAAGAGAGTAGGAATTTTGTCTACTGTTCTCCCTTATTTTCCTCATGTCTAGAACAGTGTCTAGCCCTTATGGGCCTCTATGTTGAAAGCTGAATATTAAATGTTGAATAGGCAGAGCTAGAAGAAACCGGATGTCTGGGCCTCTGGGCTGGGCCTCTTCTGCTCGAACTTACCCAGCCCTGCCACAGCCCAGCAGTGGCTTGATTATGGTTTTGTGTCTTGGGTGGGGAGTCCCAGCTGGGAGCATGGGGTCCTGCCTGAGGTTCAGCCCACCATTCTTTCCTCCCCACTCTGGGCGAAATGCCACAGCACAGGGGCCTCCGTGGGCCCTCACCGAAATGCCACAGCACAGGGGCCTCCGTGGGCCCTCACCAGGGCTTGGGAGCCTGTGGGGCAGGAAGAGATGCTGACACAGGGACCAGCCCAATGTCCTAGCTGGACAGAGGCCTACCCCACTGTCCCTCATTATATGAATGGGACATATGTCAAGAGGGGCTCAAGGTTATACAGTGAACTGGCAGCTTTCAGGACCTAGAACTCACTTTTCTTGCTGGCAGTGAAATTCCCAAATTAAGAACCAGAGTAGGGGCCGGGCGCGGTGGCTCACGCCTGTAATCCTAGCACTCCAGGATGCCGAGGCGGGCAGATTGCTTGAGGTCAGGAGTTCGAAACCAGCCTGAGCGAGACCCTATCTCTACTAAACATAGAAAGAAATCAATTGGACAACTAAAAATATATATACAAAAAATTAGCCGGGCATGGTGGTGCATACCTGTAGTCCCCAGCTACTGGGGAGGCTGAGGCAGAAGGATCGCTTGAGCCCAGGAGTTTGAGGTTGTTGTGAGCTAGGCTGATGCCACGGCACTCACTCTAGCCTGGGCAACAGAGTGAGACTCTGTCTCAAAAAAAAAAAAAATAGAACCAGAGTAGGCTGGGCACAGTGGCTCTGCCTATCATCCTAGCACTTTGGGAGGCCAAGGCAGGAGGATGCTTGAGCTCAGGAGTTCAAGACCAGCCTGGGCAAGAGTGAGACACTATCTCTACAAAAAATAGAAAAACAAAAAAATTAGTTGGGCGTGGTGGCACACACCTGTAGTCCCAGTCCCTGGGAGGCTGGGGCAAGAGGGTCACCTGAGCCCAAGAGTTTGAGGTTGCAGTGAGCTGTGATGACACCACTGCACCCAACCAAGGTGACAGAGCAAGACTGTCTCGCAAAAAAAGAAAAAAAGAACCAGAGGATGAACAGGCTCCCATAACCCAGGGGCTCGGAGACTCCCAGCTGGTCCCAGCCTATCCACAGGCCCTGCCTGGGCAAAACTTGGCTGAACTGTCCAGGCCCAGATAAAGGAGGAGGGAGTGTGCCTCTCCACCCCATGACTCACTCACGAGGAGGTGGCCGTGGTGGGGACCAGACAGTGGCATCCCCTTGGCCTAGGGGGTGCTGAGTCAAGCGGGCAGTGACGAAGGGAGCAGGGTTCTCCCGCCACCATGACTCACCCCTACATATTTGTCTGCTTGTCCAGGGAGAAACTCCCAGAAGGTTTTGGGACACACACGGAGGGCCTCAGCCCATCCCGAGCAGAAAGCCGGGCCCCTGGCGAGGAGGAATGGAGTTGAGCGTACTTCGCAGGACACTGTCTTGCTGGGAGAAGCAGCTTCCCATGTTGGCAGCGGGCAGAACCGGGCAGCCCCGGCCCTGCTCCGAGAATGCAGTTTCCTGTTCTGTCTCAGCCTGGTCCTGCTGCCAGCCAGCTTGGGTTTCAGCCTGTCTGCTGATGCAGGGAAGCACACTGGGCTGGGTTGGCTGGTGGCCTGTAAGGAGGGACCAAAATGGTCCCATGAAATAAAAATGATACTTGTTGTTTACTGAGTTGTTTACTCCGGGCCAGCCACTATGCTCAGCATTTTCCGCCTATTATTTCATTTAATTTTGACAAGTAGCTACAATTATCATCCCCATTTTAGAGGTGAAGGAACTGAGGCACCGGAGTATTTGGAGTGGTTTGCTTGGGAGTGGCAGGGCTGGAATTGGGACCCACACTTCTAAGGGAGCAGAGTCCAGGCTCTTCCCTGACCCTATGGGCAGCACCGTCCTGGCGGGCGCTCCCTGGGGAGGGTGTGCCTTGCTCTCCTCCTTCAGGGCTCACTCGTGCTTTCTTCCCTGCCTCCGCCTCCAGGAAGCCTTCTTCTTTCTTTTGCAAATGTTTTTTAATTTTTTTTTTTTAATTTTAGTGTATTATGGGGGTACAAGTGTTGAGGTTACATATATTGCCCATGCCCCCCCTCCCCCCTCGAGTAAGAGCTTCAAGCATGTCCATCCCCCAAATGTTGCACATCTTACTTGTTTGGTTGTATATACCCATCCCCTCCTCCCCCCTCCTACCTGCCCGACACCCGATAAATGTTACTCCTATATGTCCACTTAGGTGTTGATCCGTTAATACCAATTTGCTGGTGAGTACATGTGGTGCTGGTTTTTCCATTCTTGAGATACTTCACTTAGAATGGGTTCCAGCTCTATAAGAAGGCTTCTTGACTCTCTGGCTCCCAGGTCCCCTGTGCATACCTGTCCTGAAACTGCTTTCCCTCCTGTTTTCCCAGGGGAGAGAGGATGCTTGTGGAGGGTTTGTCAAGTGAATAAATGCGCTTTCTTCGGAGGAACTCTGAGTCTACTGGAACATTTTCTTCCCCTGCTGCAGGGCAGGGGCCCCAGGCAGCCCTTAACACCTGCAGGTCTCCCACTCCTGAGCCCGTGAGTGTTTGGTGAAGAAATGGAGGCACGATGTGCGAATGAGTCATTTCTGTGTCTATGCCAGGTGTGGGGTTCCCCACCCTGGGAGAATTTGGGAGTTTGCTCAAATCTGGAGTGTCCACACCTTCAGCTGGAGGGACTGGCTGGGAAGGTAAGTCTCAGCCCTTGAAGTAGGCCTCACGGAAGGCCTTCCGCTGTCTAAGGGCATGACGGGGAGTGGCAGCAGGTGACAGTGGGCACCTGCTGTGTCAGGACCTGTGTTCATGTTAATATTAATAGGAATGAGTGGGTGAGGGCCACCCGCCCCTACCCTGGGGCCCACAGTCACCTCTGGGCTGGGACAGGGAGCAAGCAGCTCTTCTGGGGCATTGGTGTGGTGGGGGTCTCCTCAGGCCCTTTATTCTCCAAACAGGCCAACACTGATCCCTCCCCACCCAACTAGGTGAACTGGGCTAGAAACTCTAGAGTCAAATGTCCAGCCTCTGGGCAGGGCCCAGGAGCCTTGATGTCCAGCCCCCTGCATGGGCCACTTGCCTTCCACAGAGCCTGTTGAGCAGGACGCCCTGGCCCGGCTGACTATCCTACCAGACACAAGGCCACTTCCAGGGGCCTCATTTTCCTCTGTGCTGACAGGGAGAAGCTCAGCTCATCCTGTGGCTGTGTCTAGTGGTTTGGGGTGGGCAAGTACCCCTCCGTCCTCCAAGGAATAGGAGGTTCCTAAAAAGCCATGACTAGGTACTCCAGGCTCTGCTTCCAGCTCTGGCTCCACCACCTACTAGCCAAGGAAACCCAGGCAGTTCCTAACCTCATGGAACCCGTATCCAGTGTGGAAAGTGTCCTGTGTTGATGGGGTAGAGAGATGGTGAAAAAGGGGCACCAGGACAATTATGTCTACCCAGGGCTCAGTCACTGGGAAGATGACAATTGTTTTTCGAAGCCTACAGGGCTTCTCTCCATCCCAAAAGGGACCCCACAAACAAAACAAGCCAGAAGCAGGCAGAAGACTATTATATATCATGCTTTTAATACAAACTTAAAAAAATCTGGAACAATATAAACTGTACAGATTTGATCAATCTTTTTGTTTTGTTTTTAAACTAAAATCTCTAAACACACCAATGTCCCATTCCAAAATATTGCACAACATTCTGAATACAAAATGCTTGATTGTATCCCTCCTTCACTAAAGAAAAAGTTCACTACCCTGCTCCCCCAGCTCCTCGCTCGCCCTAACACCCACTTCCCAACCCTAGGGAGAAAACTCGAGTCTGCAGCTCACTGAGAAAAAGACATCGTCTGGGCTGACAGTTTACAGTCTTCACAAGATAATCCACCTTTTGATTTGTTCCTGGGAAAGAGGGATAGAGAGAGAGAGGATGGGGAAAGGGGAGAAAGGTTTTATTCTCCTTTTTTTTATTTTAAAGTTTGTTTTTCCTGAAAAAATATGTTTCTTTCCTCTTTTTAAGAAAAAATCCTGAAAAGAAAATTACGTTTTTTTACGTTAGAAATATACATATATTATATATACCTCTTACATTTTACAAATGTAGCAAATTATTCAATACAAACGGACACCAAAAAATGTAAAAAATAAAAAAAAAGTTTTCCTACGAAACCAGGTAAATTAGTGCAGATTTGTTTTTGTTTTCTTAAAAAAAATAAAATTGAAGCAAAAATGCCTAGATTTGAGACAAGACAGACTGACCTGGGCCCAAGAGCCCAGCACTGGAGTCATGCTCCTGAACACACATTTTTCTTCGTATTTCAAAAGACACAAAGGGGCTGGTCTCCCCCGTCTCCCTATATGTGGTGAGGAATAGGCGACCTGGGTGCGGGTGGGTACCTGTGTGTGTGAGTAGGAGGAAGGCCTAGAAGGGGAGTTAGGCGGCATCCAACCTTTCCCAGAGAGAAGCCATCTGCCTGGGCCTGTCACCTGTGTGGGAGCTGAGGAGGGAGAGGGTGGCCCAGACTGGGCTGGCCCCTGAGAGGTCTGGGGGATAGATGGTGCTGGGCCAAGAAGCCAGGGCGTCGCCTGTCGGGGAGGTAGAGCTGGTGCCCGTTGCAGGGAGAGGAAGCTGGCAGTGTCTGTCTGGGCCGGACTCACTGCCACAGCAGTTGCCCACTTGGGGTCCTTGGGAGGATGCAGTGCCAGGGCTTTGGTGCTTTCTAGTGATGGGATCCTGATCCAAGTGCCCCACCTGCCAAAGCATCGTGGCATGGAAGCTGGCCCCCAGGGTTGGAGAAGCCACCTCTCTGCTAGCAGAGGCAAAGGAGCAAGTGTTCTTCTATGTCCAAACACACTGGCTGGCCCAAGACACCACTCCTCACAGCATCGAGGTCCAGTGGGGCTGGGTCAGGGCAGTGAGAGGGGATGGCAAGAGGTACCAAGGAGCTCTCCATCAGGCAGGGGCACAAAGGTACTAAAATAACATCCACAACTCAAATACCAAAAAGTCTCAATTCAAGGCTCAGTACTGTCCACTACAGGCACTGGCTCCAAACTCCCACCCCACCTCCGAGGGTGCTCAGGAGAGCAGCTCCCCACCCCTGGGCAAAGGTCACACGACAGGAGGGTGGAAGTCCAGGGACTTTTCTTAGGCATCAGAGGCTTGCGTATTCCCTCTGCCTTTCAGAGCTAACCTATATTTTTTGGTCAAAAACAAAAGTGCAGATCCGTCTGCAGTCTAGAAACCAGCTCCTTCTGCAGTGCTTTCCCTTGGGAGTGTCTCAGGCTCAGGTGCAGCGTCACCCCACCACGTGTCCTGCCCTGAAAAGGACCGACAGACACCCCCGGCCCATTCCCCAGCCTCACACACAAATAAGCACTTGCTGCAGCCCAGAATCACATCCAGAGGGAAGTTTCACATGGCTTGGAATCCTTTAAAAAAGGACAGCAAACCGCACACACACCTACACACGCCAAGTGCACACACCCACACACCTACACACATGCCCCTTGCCCCACCCACAACCTCGGGCTCAGGGAAGAAGGGCCTGCATGAGAGAAAGAGGCCACACATATCAATGGCCAGGTCCCCAGGGCCATGATGATGGTCTGTGCCAGGAGGGGATGGTGGGGCCACAGGACAGAGATGAAAGGGATACAATGAGACAAAGTGCTATCCTCTCCATAGTCACAGACATCAGCTCGAGGGGGAGGGTGTGAGTGGCCAGCCAGCAGCTCCCTAGGGCTCAGCCTGAAAGGGAGTGGGGGCTGGGGTCTGACCTACTGGGCGGCAGGGCTGGAGAAGGCCTGCTGAGGTTGGATGGCTTTGAATGCGAGGAAAGCTGGGTGACAGAGGCAGTGACAAGGGCTGGCCTCTCCCCATTCCAGGGAGGGCCAGGCTCCAGCTGCAGCTCTTCCTTCCCTGTGAGCTTGGACACACCAACCCTAAACCAGGAGTGTGAAGGAGGGAGGGAGGAATAGGGAGCAGCAATTCACATCTGGACCATTCTTAGCACAGGAAGCCACTAATTAAAGATGTTATATAGAAAACTACATGTAAAAAAAAAAAAACAACAAAAAGAAATACAAAACCCAAACCAACCAAATAAATCAGAGGCAGGCAGGCAATCGGTAGGGGGGTGTGGGGTGGAGGGTGGTGAGTTAAACACGACTCAGTGCTTTGAGAACCCCCCCATTCCATGCCTAGGCTGGATCTTTTTTCTAGAAGCAAGAGTGAGAAGATTGGAAATCTTTTTGTATATTTTTCTTTTCCTCTTTTTTTTGGCCTTTCCTTTCTTTTCTCTTTTCCGTGGTCTTGAGTGCTCCTGGCCCTGGGTGGGGGGATGGTCAGTTGGCCAGCACGACGGGCTGGAACGGCTGGCTAGGATACTGCATGGTGTTCAGGTTGTAGCTGAGGCCTTCCACGAAGGGTGTCTTCTCCAGGAAGAGGCTGTTGGCACCACCTCCAAATACCTGGGCCATGTCGAAGCTGCTGCTGTTGCAGGTGCCAGCCCCACTGCCCTGACCATCAGCTCCATCAAAGAATAGGCTAGGAGAGCCACTGCCGTTGTACACGAACTCCTTGGCATTGGGCGAGAGCTGGGACTGAGGGGCCGGGTTGGCCGTGATGAAGTTCAGTGAATGCATAGACAAAGAGAGGCTCTTGTGCTTCAGCAGGTTGTTGGTGGGCGAGCGAGCCATGCGAGGCTGCTGCGGTGGTGGCTGCTGGCCACTTGCCCCACTGCTGGCCACACCCCCCCCACCTGCTGCCCCGCCACCCTTTTTCATCTTGGTGGAACCAAATTTGGTGGCAGCGAAGGAGGCAGTGGTGAAGGTGATGGGCTGGGCGGAGCGGGGGATGAAGGTGGGGCTGGGTGACTGGCCAAAGGATGGTGATGGGGAGTTGGACAGGGAGCTGTCCTGGCTGCCGATGGGCACAAACACCTGGGCGTCAGGGTTGAAGCTGCTCTTGATCTCCTTGTCCAGCTCTGGGGCACCACAGCCCTCACTATCATCCAAGTATAGCACTTTGACAGCCCCCTTCTCACCAATCTGGTAGGACACCTCGAAAGGGTCAATCCAGACACTCAACTCCTCAGGCACATTGGCCCGCACGTCCTCCACTGCCAGGCCACTCCGCTTGGCAGCCAGCTCCACCACAGGGTCCACCATCTCCCCAATGTGGACACAGCGGAAGCCAGAGCCCTTCAGTGGCTTGTCAGGGTACCAGTGGCCTTCATATTTCTTTTTCAAAAGCCGCTCTAGCTCCTCCCCAAACAGGTCTGCCCGGCGTCGGGGCAGCTTGTTGTACAAGTAGGAGATGATGAAGTTCAGGGCCACTTTGATCTCCAGCTGCATGGTCCTTTCCTAGGCAGAGAATCAGCACAGGGCACGTGTACAGGCCAAGGGCAGTGGAAGAAGATACAAGGTGGACAGCCTTGGGCTCCAGACAGCTCTGGGAAACAAAAGAGAGGCACAGTGAGTAGATATGTAGAGAGCTGGTGGTGACCAACAGCAAAGGACAGAGAGAAAAGCACTGACTTGGGATTATACAGATCCAGGGGCCCATTTCTGCTCCACCAGTGGCTAGCCTAATTGCATGTCTGTGGACAAGTCACTTTCTTCTGGGCCTCAGTTTCCTCATCAGTAACATGACCTATCGTAAAGGTAGTTCAAGGATGTAAACTGCCTCAAGCTGTACCCAGCAAATTAGTAGGCCCTTGATAAAGTTAGCTATTATTTTAAAGTGATTGTAAAGAAATAGGGGAGCTGTAGATTCCACCATTTTGAGAAATCCAGGTCATTGTATGAGTGACACACACACACACACACACACACAAAATCAAGTCCCTAATGTAGGTGGAGAAGGGAAGGCTCTTGCTGTCTCCATTATATCTCAGTGAAGTCATGCCCACAAACTGTCACCGGCCAAGATGTAAGCATAAAATCTTTAGTTGTCCTCCTTAAATGGAAAGGGATACAGGTCACTGAACAGGAAGGAGCACTGCCAACATTTTACTGGGGGCTTGGCCTCCAGTCACATCCATCTGTCACCCAGGGCCCCATGTGTACGCTTTCTGGCTCACTCTGGGTTTACAGAACTGATTTAAGAACTCCAAAGTGATCAAGCCTTGCATTTGCATCCAGAGAGCCTCCAAGAATAAGATGAGGGCATGAGCCCCAGGAAAAAGGCAAGTAAGTCTTGTTACAACCAGAGATGTAGGCCAAAAAGGGAACAACTGGCTGGGGATGGCCCTGGGGAGAGGGAAGCAGAAGCCGGTAGGCCAGCAAAGAGTTAAGAGCAGCACTGGTGTGGCCTAAGGGAATCTCTGTAGTTTTTGGCAAGGGTGTACATGATGAGGGTGGCAGAAGAAAGAAATTTTCCATCACCCTGCAGCCTCCAGCAGGGACCCATCATCACTCAGTCTCCCAGGGACTGTCTGACCACCTGTCCTCGGCACTGGATCAGATTTATCAAGTGTTTGGAGATCCCTGGAGAGAAAGCAGCCCAAGATAAACACTCAGATTGTTATTTTGGGATTCTCTCACAGCCAGATCCCACTGAGGTCAAAAAGGTTTATTCCCTAGGCCCGGGCCAGCCTCATGTCTCAGGAAGATGATCTGTGAGGTCCTGAGAGCCAGTGATCCTAATTTCACTTTTCCCAAATGGGCAGCTCCAGGCTCATGCTGGGGGAGAAAATGATCTGAAAGGGCCATCTCTAAGGGGCAGCAGGGCCAGAACATGTTCCTAACCAGACCACTGCACAAGGCAGTGATGCTGAGCTCAGCACAGAGACAAGATTGATCCATGATCCGTCAAGGGCATCTTCTGTCCTGCAAAAAACTCAGGGCTAGATTTTGATTAAAATCCTTTCTGGATCCAGCATGAAGTATCCAGGGGCCAATTTTAGGCTTGAGGATTTTGAGGTGCTTTTTTTTTTGAGACACAGTCTCACTTTGTTGCCCAGGCTAGAGTGAGTGCTGTGGTGTCGGTCTAGCTCCCAGCAACCTCAATCTCCTGGGCTTAAGCAATCCTCCTGCCTCAGCCTCCCGAGTAGCTGAGACTACAGGCATGCGCCACCATGCCCAGCTAATTTTTTCTATATATATTTTTAGTTGGTCAATTAATTTTTTTCTATTTTTAGTAGAGATGGGATCTCGCTCGGCTGGTTTTGAACTCCTGACCTTGAGCAATCCGCCTGCCTCGGCCTCCTAGGATTACAGGGGTGAGCCACCACCCCCAGCCAGGATTTTGAGGTTTTGGCTCAACAAATTTTCTTGTAATTCTTAGGCCCGGGCCCATGGCTTCTATGGGTATTTTTAGGACCAAATCTCAGACAAAAATTTCTGGGATGAACATATCAGAGAAAATACACTGGGTCAACCTAGAGTAGCATATGACAGTGGCTAAATCCAGTCTAACCCTCATTTCAGGTCTGAGGAACAGAGCTGTCACATGGGGAGTCAGCAGAGGCACCATAACTCTGCCCCTCTCCCCAGCCCTCCACCAGAATGTTCAGGATGCCCTTCTCCCTGCCTCCAAAACAGACTTCATCTCCAAATGCCTGCTCATGATAACACAGATCAAAACCAGGGCCCTTTTGGGTTTAAAAAGAAGGAGAATTGTAAAAAGAATAAGGGGCTTTCTGTTTATGAGAATAGGGCTAATCACTAGATGCAAAGCTAGCCACCAGAACTGTGGGTCTCCTCTCAAGAATGAAGGCCTCAAAGGGCCACAGTGGTCTGTCAGAGGTGTCCAACATGGAGCTAAAAAGTTGTAAATAAAGTTGATACTGGTTCCCTAAGAACAGGCATTTTCAAAGTGTTTGAAAAGACAGACTGAAGTTGACATATGACACTTCTCCGAAGGCACTACATGGCCTCTTAAAATACACCTCATGGTATTTCATCCATAGCAAAGGGCTTCTCCACCTTTCTAGGCCTTCTCAAACTTTGCTGCATAATTGCCTTCCAAGTTAACCACCCCTGAACAGTTCAGCCTCAAAATGGAAGCATTTTAAATGTGGGCCAAAGTCATTGGGAAATAAGCCTCCCACCCCAAAATACAATAGAACCACTGTCATCAGCCCTGCCTAGCTAACCATTTTCTGCAGCATAAGCAACTAACGCTGCACACCAATTTATACCTCAGTGATGTTGTCGCACAAATAAGGAAGCATATAATGTCACCTTTGCCTCTTTAATTGGAGAACAGGCCAGGCCAGATGGCTGTGGGGTGGAACCTTATAAAAATGCTGGACAGCCAGGATGAGATTTTCTGCTCTATCAGCTCAGGCTCTAATTTTGACTTCAAGAAGCTTATGGAGCGGAGGATTAAAGCATCAGTACTGTCTTTTGCTAAAGATAGGAGTGACCATTCAGATGAGTTAGTTAATTTTTTAAAAAGCTACAAATTCTAGCCTATATAGAAAATATTTATGGAAATGCTGTAAGATTAGGAAACTTAGAAATAACTACTGTTCAAACAAAAGGAACAAGTAGATTTGTTAAACAGCTGCAGAGGCCTGACTTGGGCACAAAAGGCCTAAAAAGAAAGGAAAAAAAATAAAGTTTCAGTGTTTAGCAAAGTCGCCCCTTTGTCAATACATTAAAAAGTTGCAAATGAGAGAGTCTATCGGATTTCACCAAGAATCGTATTCTCCTTCATTTGTTTACTTCCAGCAGCATAGTTAAACCTGGATTCGGATCCCTTGTGCTAACTTGTGTTTTAAAGAGTAAGTGCCTAAGAGAAAGAGACAAAGATGGGGGAAGAAATGAGGCATGAAACTGGAAAGAGGCCTCAGTCAGTACAGATCCCAGAGAACCTCAGACGAAAATGTGAAGAAAGGCTTTCAAGGAAAAAAAAAGTTTTAAAGAGGACAGGAATGATAATGGTGAAGGAATCTATCTGGTCCAAACCTATAAAAATGCCAGGCCTTAATATCCAAATCATCCTACAGTTAAGCACTACGGCACTCAAATAAATGTGAAAAGTGAGAGAGGCCTTCAATTTTAACAAGGCCAGTAGGTGTCACAGACTGGGTGGACGTGAGTGCCTTGAAGCTGACAGAGTGAGAGGAGAACACAGGCAGCTCCTCAGGACAGGTGAGATGGGGACCCGCCCCACTCCATTGGTCTCCCGGCCTGGACCTGTGTGTGTGGGGGTTTAAAGGCTTCCAGGACTTGTGCCGACCAAGTGCACCATGCCGCCCAGAGTCTCACATCATCTCCCCTAAACAAAGACCACTGGGACAACACTGGGTCTGACTTCAAGGCTCCTTTCAACTAAGAGGATCCTCTCCAGGGCACTCTAGGATTCTCAGAAGCCAAGACTGAACTCCAACGTAGATGGAGAGGCGGGCAGCGAGGGCACGCTCTGCACTCTGGGAATCGTAGTCCTCAGCGTCCTCAGCACCAGGCTGGAGCAAGTGACCTACTTTCTCTGCACACTACACTTCCCTGCGTGCTTTGCGAAGGCTCAGCCGGCTGAACTACGCATGCCTGGTAAGGGGAGCGCCCGAGGGCCGGACAACCAAGGAAAAGTTTCCGATGCACATGCGTGCTGGAGCTGACGGGCGCCCCGCACCCCCCATCGCCTAATGCATTTCATACAAATTCTACCCATAAGGCCTACTCCCCGTCTCACCCCACCGTATCCATTTCTAGGCTTTAGGAGAGGCCGGACTCTCCACCCCTCTTTTCCCTTCATCACCTCTCTTGACTGCTGAAATAGGGATCTGCTTCTAATGAGTTTTTTCTGGGTGAAGAGGATGAGCTGGCACAGATAAGGTCATGTCCCCGACCTCCCCACTCCCCAAAATCTGAATTCCATGGGCTGGGCGGTGGGTCTGGAGTTGCTGTAGGGACGTTAGATTCAAAGAGAAAAGAGCTTTTTTCACCTAGTGCACAGCGGGCTAGGCTCCAGCACCTCCACAGCCGGGAAAGGAAATGCAGAAATTAAACCCAGTTCTCCTGTTGTCTTGGCCAAAGAAATTCCCAGTTAAGCTGTGGGGAGGCGCCAGTCGACAATGAGAAGGCCAGACGCCAGCAGGGACCAAGCCTCACCCCACTTCTAATCCAAGTCTAAGTAACCAGACCTGGGCGAGGGAAATGGGAAAAGGTTCCTGAGTAGAGAAGGAAAAATTGTCCATCTGACACCTGAACATCTTCTAATAATTAAAATTCCATGTGTGTCTGTCTCCTCCCACTTCAAGGCCTGCTCCAGAACCAGACTTACCAGATCCTCAGCAAAGCTCCCCTACTGGGTGTTAAACCTCCCTAATCCTTCCTCCCACACAAGCTTCTTTTACCCTGTGCTTCAGAAAGGGATGGGGGCAGGTGCCCAAGAGAGCAGCAGGGGTGTTTTTCTGCTGAGAAATCAGAGATGAGGGACCCACTCCCAGGCACGGTCACAAGGGAGAGAAATGTTAGATACTGAGCAAGCACCCAAGACCTCGTCCGCTGTCCCCAAGTTGAAGCTTGCTGTGTGGCGTTCTGGAACCAGAGGGTCTGCCGGCTGCTACTCCTCTCTCTGTACCCTCTTCCTTCCCTTCCCCAGATTTCTGGTAAAGGGCACAGTTCACGCTCTGGACTGGAGGGGAAGGAGTTTAGGAGTCGGGCCTCCCAGGCATCTCACTGAAACCAACCAGACTCCACTCACTGGTGGTGCTCTATAGGTACTTTTCCCACCCAGTTTTCCCTTAAACGCTGAAGAGTATAAAGAGCTTTAGCTGAAACGGTGAGTTCTGGCTCGCTGGCCCAAGGACAGTCTCCACTGACCCGTCCCGTTGCTAGAAAGGAGGTGTCTGACCTCCATCCCTCAGGCTCCACAGAGCCAGAAATAAATCCTACTATTACCACCCTTCTTCCCCGCACACGGTTTGAAAAGCAGCAGAAAAACAAGGCCTGGATCCCCTTCCTTCCTCTGATTTTTTATTTAACAGTGGGGGGAGTTATATTTCTTTGGAGAACAAGGAAAATCTAGTGAGAATCTGGGATATGAAGAACTGGGGGAGGCAGGGAAGGGAGGAAATGCACCCCACCCAGGAAGGGGCCACACTTGGAACTGGAAGGGGATTCTTGGGTACCCCAGGATCAGAAATGGCAAGAGGCGAAAGGAGCACAAGAAAAAAGGGAGGGGGCGTAGAGAGGGAAGAAAGAAGGGGAAAGGAAAATGCTGGCCAGGCGGGGGGAAGAGGGGCGACAGCAACGTGGTGTCCAGCAAAGCAAAGTGCAGGAGTGGGGCGGGCAAGGGGGAGGTGGTCAGGCCTCTTGGGTCTCAATGTGGCCCCCGCCCGCACGCCCCCCATCACTCACTCGGGTCTCCGCGGCGGCGGGGCGCTCTGCCGGCCGCGGGGCGGCTTCTTCCTCCAGGGTGGTCCTGAGCGCGGGGCGGAGTCGCTCTCCCTTCCTTCCCGGGCGCCACCGGGCCGGGGGCCGATGTGTCCTTTTCGTCGTTGAGGGTCAGGGGACGATCGAGGAGGGGCTTATGGGCTATGACTCTCAATAATAATTCTTTCAGCTTTCTGGAGGTTGGGATCGGTGGCAGGGGGACGGAGGGAGGGCGGGCCGGCCGGCAGCGACGGCGCGGGGATGGCCGGCTCGGGGATGGCGGACCCGAGGGTGGCTCGTTTCGCGGGGCGGAGGACGGTCGGGGTTTTGGCCGGTGGGCGGTCCTGCCCTTCTGGCCCTTGTCGCCCCAGCCACTCGCTTCCCTCCGCCGACGACCCACACCGTGCCGCGCCCCAGCCCGAAGTGAGCAAAGTCAATGAAAAGTTTCACCCTTAGCAACCCTGCGCACGGATCCTGCCTCTCCACCCCTGAGTGATGCGTCCCTCCGCCTTGCAGGGGCGGGGCCGGGCGCCCGGCCGGGACTACTTCCCCGCCGGCCGGCGACTTAACCCTCTCGTGCCGCGCAGCCCGGGCCCGCGTCGGCTGCCCACCCCGCGCCGGGTTCCTCAGCACGACTGGCCGCCTTTCCCTGCCTCACGGCGCGCGCCGTAGTTATTTCCTGCCCTAAGCGGCTCTCTGAACTCGTGCTCATCGTGTTTGGGGTTTCCCCAAGTAGTGTGCTCCGTGAGGGCTGGGGCCCGCCCGGGGCAGGGCTGCTCACGGGGCCAGGCACACAGGGACGCTCACTTTAGCGGTGTTGGACGGGTGGATTTCGCGGGAAAGGGGATGGCATCACCCGGCCCTGCGGGAGCTCTCCCCACTGAGTCTTCAGCCCAGCACCCGCCTCGGCGCCGACGGTTCGGACGTTTGCCCGAACCTTTCTCCCGAGGCGTCCCTCCATCCCTGGGCGCCTGGCCATCCCGCAGCTCTCGCGTCGCCCGTTACGGTGTCTTCGCGAGTGGGGAGGCTCAGGGAGCAACGCAGGCTCTGGAAGCTTTTCGGACCTGAACTCTGGTTGCTCTGAGTCTTCTGAGCGCCTCATGCCTCGTCGAGGGACCCGTAAGATCGACGGGAGGGCCAGGAGGAATCTGGGGCGTGGGCTACGCTGTGCGGGAGGAAGAGGAGGCGAGGAAGAGCCCGACGGCCAGGGAAACGAACCGAGTGCTATAATTAACCCTCCATTCGCTGTTTCTGGCGTCCCGTTCCCGCACAAGGGTGGCCCCCGTCTCCGGCCGCCCGGGTTATCTCTTCCCAGCTGGCGACCCCCGCATGGGGCACAGGGAGGGAGCGCCACGTTACTGTTCTTTTAGTAACAGCTCCGCCGGCGCGGGGTGACGCCTGCCCGTGCAAGGGGCGGCGGAGCAAGGCTCGCCGAGCCCGAGACGGGGCGCGCCAGGCCTGGCCACGCGGGCCACCCTGCCTCTTTGTGACTGTGCGGGACGCAGAGTTGGGGGTAGCGAAGCTTGTGCTCTGAGGTCACAGGCAGACCGGACCGACGGCGAAGCCCGGGGCGTCAGGGGGCTTCCGTGTTTGGACCGCCTTATCCCTCCTTAGCTCGCCCATTCCCCAATTCTTCCATCCCCCGCCCCCACTTTTATTCTCATTCCAGACAGTTCGGCTCAACGGCTACCGCCAAACCCACGTGGGGTGGCGAGATCCAAAAGTTTGCAGGGAAATTTTTTTTTTTTCCTTGATCACTTTTTTTGGCAAGGGCAGAAAGCGACGGTAACGTGGCGGTTTAAATGCGCTTCCCTTGACTGCAGCAGAGAAATGCCGGGCTGGAGGGCAAACTCCACGGGGAGAGGGAGGCGGGAGCCAGCCTGAGCGTCCCCACCCCTCTCACTCCGAGCGCTGCAAGCCTGGGGCACCTCCAGGGACTACTTGCCTCGTGCGTCAGGAGTGACAGAGCGTCACACACACGCCCCCTCCGCCTTGCCCGGCTGCACCCTCCACTTCTTTCTCCTCCCCTCCCTCCTCTCTCCTCCCCAAGTGTATTCCATCAAGCAGCGAGACTCGGCCAACCCACTCGGTTCCAGAGCACAGAAATCTAAAAATATAGCCGGCGTGTTAGCAACAGCCTTCCGATTGGTGGGGGAGCGGGGAGAGACGGCGTCTGATTGGGTTTTGGATCCAGCAGGGAGGACTGGGTCATGGGGAGTGTGCGTTTGCTCAATGAGGCAGGGCAAGGGATGCTGGTATTTGTAGTCATTAATTTAGGCAGCTGTGGAACTAGGTACGTTTATATTCCAGTTCTGCCACCCACTGTATGATCTTGATTTAATGCAACCAGTCTCTTTATAGCAAACCTGTTTCTTCATCTATAAAATGGAGATAATGTGGCGGATTGAATATGACATTGTATGTAAAGCCTGGCCCAAATAGTTGCTATTCTTAATTTAAAGATAACTATTCGGGCGAAATTGCAACCTACATATCCTGCATATCCAGTGCTAAGTTTGGTGTGCATTCTCCAACGGGAAACTTTCCACGACAGAATGATAAAGGTGAAGGTGAACCGAGACGAGTTGTTTTAGGATATCTCAGGAGGGACGGATGGAGTATATATAAGCAGATAAAGGGTGGCTGTCTCCTACTTTCCGGACAGGCAGATTGAAAGGCAGACTGAATCCCTAGGAGAAACGCTTGAGTTTCAGCCTATTTGTGCTTTTAATCGAATCTCCCCCTGCTGTGCTGGAAACATTCCATCCCTGAGCATCACTAAAAAGGAGAAATCCAGCCTCCTTGGTGGGACCTCTGGGTAAATAAAGGGCTAGCATGTAAATAGGAAAAGATAAAATAGAATAAAAGGTAAACATCCGTCTTAACTGCTGCTGTATCCATTTATCTTGTAATGAGGAAAAGAGTTTTTCTCCCCAACAAGTGATTTCATTCTGCCTGGGCTTAATTACTTAAGCATTCCCCTCCCGTTTTGAATAATCATATGTTGAATGGCACACACCATGCTTTCAAAATGGTGAGCTTCCTAAGCAGGCTTGTGAGGGTGGAGAGGGTGGGAACAAGTCTCCTGAGAGTAAGCAAGTTATGCCAGGCATTTTGGTGCCATGACAAGTCAGGCTGGTCGTAATTGGCCCCAATTAACTCTCAGGAATGAGTCATTCTCTCAAACACACATGCCAGGATGAGAAATTTTGTATTGTTTCTTTGAAGTTATCCAAGAAAATAGTTTCTCAATTTGATTCTTCTGATCCACTGTCCAGCTGGGCAGGAGCAAAGATAGTCACAACAGAAACTGGCTTTGGAAAAGATTGGCGGCTGAAGGCAAATGATTTGCTATTTATTCATCAAGACTGTGGTTTCTAGTAAAGTAAGGTAAGTGAACAAACCTTTCTTTTGCTAAGACACTAAATTGCGGTATTCAAAGAAAGTTACAGGACACTTGGGGATAGAGTTAATAAGGAACTGAGTAATTGGGGGGAAAGATGGAAATATTTGGAGTCTTTTTTAAGGCAGGAAGATGTCAGCCAAGTCAAAGATCTTTCATCTTTATGTCCTAACTTCACTACTTTTGAAAAACTACATGTCAGATTAGAGTGACATATAGTCTTTCTGAAATTTTCAGTTCAGTTTGATTCCCTGGGAAGTTAATTTTAATTTAGAAGCTGCTAATTGGCAGGCCACAGTCCACCTCTGGTGGATGTATTTTCTTGGCATATACTGACATATTACATTTTAAAAAGTTGAGTTGCCAATATTTAAAAATTGGGATATTGCACAAAAATATCTTAAATTGCCCACTTGTCCTAAATTCAAAATATCTGGCAACACTGGGCATTCAAGCTGGCAGCAATTGTGTGGAGTTGAATAGCAACTGTCTCCTTTAGTCAGGGCCTGTGTCTCTGGTTCCCCAAGGTCCCTACCACTCCCAGACATTCAGGCTGAGGATCACATACCATTTATCATCATGCTTGGGCTATTTTCACATCCCTCCCTTTTTTTTCTTTATGTATTTTTTCCTTTATTCACAGCCCCCAGAAGGAAACTCCTCCCTTTTTAATCAGTGATACTACTCACCCAGACTCCTGAGTTTGTGACCCCTTTTTTGGTTCAGTTAACAAATAATTGCTTGAGTGGTTGCTTATTGTGTACCCTGCCATAGAGGGAGAGGCAAAAGGAACTCAGGATCTTATTTATGATCTAGTTAATTCTTTTAAAACTCTGGATCGTCATCCATTAGTGGGGTCATAAAATTACCTGACTTAAAGGATTTCAGCCAGAAATGTTAGAATAGAATGGCATAAAATGAGAATATCAGAGTACAATATACATAGTAAATACTGTTTCATGAAACTTTTGTTTCTGTTATATGCAGGTACTAGACACAAAAATAAAATACAAATGAGAAATTGTGGGGTATGGTGCATCTGGAAGCTTCCATGAGCTGTCAGGAACCTGGAAGGAAGAGGTAACCTAATTGGCCAGTTGATGTGAAAGTGGAAGGACGGAAACAAATAGCCAAAGAGAAGTCAGGGAGTGTGCAAAGAATGTCCCTTCAACTGAGGTGAGGAAAACCTTGGGGGCAGGGGAGATGCACACACCGTCCGCGCTCAAACATAGAGGACCACCACACAATAAAGAACTACCTTCTCCTCATACCGTCTCTAAGGGTCTCCTACAGTGCAAACTTAATATTCACCCTGCAGAGGTGACCTTAACACACACAACTAAATGACACACAACAACAGCAATCAGTGTAGGTTTGACTATACCACGCCACGAAGTTCTTTTTTTTTTTTTTTGAGACAGAGTCTCCTTTGTGCCCAGGCCTAGAGTGAGTGCCGTGCGTCAGCCGTAGCCAGCAACCCACAACTGCTGGCACAAGCAAATACTGCTCGCTTCGCAGTACAGAGCTAACAGACAAAAACACACACAATAAGGCAACAACACGGGACATAAATATTTAAATTACTGAGGAAGATAAGGACAAAATAAATTAGACTTGAAACAAAATTATTATTTTCTATATAATAAGTGAGGAACAAGACTCAGCTCATATCACCAGAGCAGGATCACTCCCTGACCTCGAGCAATCCGCCTGCCTCGGCCTCCCAGAGTGTTAAGATTACAGGCGTGAGCCACTGCGCTGGCCTTATATAGTGTTCTTGAGAGTGAGAAGCTGGAAGCAAGAAAGCATCCTTTCTAGAACTGAATATATACCAAACATTGAGTACTTAATAAATGAATAATGACAGCAGAAATAATAGTAATAATAATCATAAATCCAGGGAAGGGAACGGCTTTCTCAGGCTGAGTTCAACTACGTATGTAGGTAGTGCTAATTTCAACAAGAGACAAACACCAGTAATTCTTAAGATTGTTCTGATTTTTTTGTGGCCATCCATAGATGGCTGAGATCATTATTCTAATTCTCTTCACAGAATTATATACTGTCAGAGGCTAAAATTCAGTTTGTACATGATGTTTTCCCAATAGAGAATTTGGTACTTTCATTATCCTAACTTTTTTTTTTTGAGACACAGTCTCACTTTGTTGCCCAGGTTAGAATGAGTGCCCTGGTGTCGTCAGCCTAGCTCACAGCAACCTCAATCTCCTGAGCTCAAGCGATCCTACTGCCTCAGTCTCCCGAGTAGCTGGGACTACAAGCATGGGCCACCATGACCAGCTAAATTTTTGTATATATATTTTTAGTAGAGACAGGGTCTCGCTCAGGTTGGTTTCAAACTCCTGACCTTGAGCCATCCGCCCGCCTCGGCCTCCCAGAGTGCTAGGATTACAGGCGTGAGCCACTGTGCCCAGCTATCCTAACTTTTAAAATTGAAAAGGAATTATTCTAAAGTCCAAGGTACATAAGAAGTAACTTTATCTCAGGTATTCTTAACTCATTCTTTGTATGCTATTGTTCTCTTGGTCTCTGATGATCAGAAAGAACAAACCAAGAATGGGATTACAAAATGAGATGACTCTCAAGAGGAGCAGGTTTTAGCAGAGTTCACTGGGGTGAGTGAGGCTGAATTTGCCCCACTGCTCATCAGTGTGGAGGGGGCATGCCCTTTGAGAATCTACTGGGTATTAAATCTTAAAAATCCCTAGCAAGGCTTTTTAGTCACACACATTGAGGCTGATGGAGTGCAGTTAAGGTGGTGTTTTGCTGAAACTAAAGAGTAGCTTTTGAAACAGTTGTAGATGCAAGATGTTACATGGACCAGGGTGGTTAATAAGCACTTGAAAAAATAACTGAAATTTTTTTGTAAAACATTTGGACTCACATTACATATTAAAACTATAAATAAATTGGATGTGATTCTAAAGTTATAGAATCAATTATAAATTCTAAGTATAATCTGAAAATGATCTGGTTTCTGCACCTCTTTTGACATATAACTTAGTGTTCTGTTGTTTATAACAGAATAGCTGAAACTGAGTTATTTATAAGAAGTGAACTTTATTTCTTAATAGTTCTGGAGGCTAGAAGTCCAAGGTGAAGGACGCACATCTGGTAAGAGCCTTCTTGCTGGTGTGGACTCTTTGCAGAGTCCCCAAGGCAGCACAGGGCATGACATGGTGAGATGTCTGAATGTGCTAGTTCAGGTCTCTCTTCTTGTAAATCCACCAGTCACACTGCTGTGATAACCCATTATTCCATTAATTCATGAATGGATTAATCCATCTATGAGGGTAAATCCCTCATGACCCAATCATCTCTTAAAGGCTCCGTCTCTCAATACTGCCACATTGGGGATTAAGTTTCAACATGAATTTTCGAGGTGACAAACCACAGCAATAACCCCTGCCTGATGATGTAGAAGTCCTCTGAGCTCCTCAAACATATCACCCGGTTCAAGACTGCCTTTGCTCAAAGTGGTTCCCCCACACAAGTGCCCTTATCTGCCTACCCCACCTTCTTTGGCCTGTAGGTTCCAGCATACCTTTCAAAGCTCAGTTTATTATCCAGTCTCCATGGCTTTAACCATTCATTCAGTACAGAATACCTGCTACCTGCTGGGCAGAACAAACTTGGTTCCTGTCCTGGTAGATCACAACCTAGTAGCTGAGTCACTAATCACTTAATGCTTTAAGAAAATACAATAGGATGCTATGTGGGAGTACAAGGGGAACTCAGATTTGGAGTCGGGAGAGACATCTTTGAGGAAATATTTGGCTAAGGTCTGAAGGGTGAGTAGGAGTTAGCTGAGTAGCAGGCCAGTGGGTGTAGGCGTGTGCAAGCATTATAGAGGGATCAGCCAAGCAGCAGCAGAGGAAAGCACGTGAGGAACTGATAAGGAGCCCCAGTGGCTGGAGGGCAGAGAATCGGGTGGCAGAAGCAGGAAGCCATAAGGATTCTCTAGTCCTGTGGCTGTGACCTTGGCCTGCCTTGCAGAGGTACCCCTAACCCAAGCCAGGAACCCTTCCTCTGTGCATCCTCCTGCTACACCAGAACTGGTTTTGTCAGGCTTCTGCTGATTCCTTGAAGGCAGATTTATTTTAATTCAATTTTGGATACTCAATCATAAACAATCAAAAGTTCTGTTGACTTAAACTAAAACCCGGGATAAGAAATCAAAAGACCCCATTTTTTCCTTGGCTTTGCTGCTAAGTTGCAGTGTAAACCTGAGCCAAGTCCCTGGATTCCTCAGGACCTAACACCTCTTTGTCAAATCTGTGATGTCAAAGACCTCCTTGACTGGCCATCTCAAGCTGTTAGTGCGACTCCTTAGGATAACTTGCTCATCTCTTTAGTGCGTAGAAATGACAGGGTAAGGAATATGTCTGAATCTGCCCTTGGTCTATTCATTTATTTTTTTAAAAAATGCTTTCTCAAAATGAAACATTTTGAGAAACTACCCTTAAATTGTAGTTTATGAGACAAATCAAAGTTGACTCCTCCTAACTCATCAATTTGGTTTAATTTTGTCTCATTCTCTCCATTTTGGAAGCCATCTCTTCAGTACAAAATTACAAGTTGGACAGGAAGGAAAAAACAGTATGTTTCTAAAAATGACTTTGCTTTTACCTAAAATGAAAGGCATGGGTGGTTTTGAATTACTTCCAGTGGTAATAGGAGGACAAGGTGCTTAAGGAAGCCCACTAACTCTGTTTTGAATTACAAATTCCTGGGTGGCTAAAATAAATTCCTAGAATTAAAGTTAAATGGTGAAAGGTGACTGACTGCCAGAAAATAAACGCCAGCTTTATTAATATAATAGCAAAAGAAAGGGTTTCCAATTTCTCAGAAGGAAAATAACATGAAACCAGCACTGCCTGGTAAGCGTTACAAGATTACACACCCACATTTATCACTCTGAGAGCTCCCCACCACACACTGATGGTTCCTCAAGGACAACTGCCATCAGAGCTGCTGCAAGAACATGGTTTTCATTGTGTGTAGCTTCACAGTCAACTCCTCAGACAATACAGAAATATTATTTCTTTCTAGAAACTCTTACTGTAGAGAGAACATATCAATGTGGAGAAGAGGCTGTAGTGAGCTGAAAAAAACACTATCAATTTTTCTCTCATATAGTCTGCCAGGGTGCTCTGTGAAGAATCCTTTTCTATGCCTACCACATGTCTGGGTGAGGGGACAGGAAAGGGTGGCAAGGTGCCAGTACACTAGCAGGCAATTCCGGTGATGCTCTGGGCTCTGCTCCTGTTCTGCTGGTAGTAGTAGGCGTCTTTTCTGGCAGCTGTGGCAGCTTGATGGGGGGAAGAAGGGGCCACCCACCAATCACCTTTTCTTGAAGCCGTATTTTTTGCGTTCATAGAAGAGGTCTGTCTTAGAGCTCCCCAAATTGACAATTTTTGGGCAGCCATCTCTCTGTAAAACAGAATGGAGAAGTTGCTAAGTCTCTGAGCCTGAATCAAGATGGATTTAAGGTAAAAATTTAAACCAGGTGTATGTAGCTATAGTCCCAGCTACTTTGGAGGCTGAGGCAGGACAACTACTGAGGCCAGTTCAAGGCTGCAGGGAGCTATGATCACACTTGTGAATAGTCACTGCACCGCAGCCTGGAGCAACAAAAGGGCCCCATGTCTTAAAAAATAAAAAATGAGCTGGGTGTGATGGCACAAGTCTGTAGTCCTAGCTACTCAGGCAGCTGAGAATAGAGGATCACTTGAGCTGAGGAATTCAAAGCTGTAATGAGCTATGATCATACCACTGCACTCCAGCCTGGGCAATACAGCAAGATTCTGTCTCAAAAACAAACAAAAAACCCCCACAAAGAACCCAATAAATAGGTTTGCAAATGTGTCCAAACACTGGTATCTCCTTAATTGGAAGGTCCAGATTAATCAGCACTATTTCTTACCTATCTCATGGAACTTTTAGAAGACCACTTTATAACCTCTAGATTCATGGCTTAGCATTCATCTTATCAGTTACCCTATTTAATCCATCATCAAGAATTTACTAAATGGCCGGTGTGGTGGCTCATGCCTGGAATCCTAGCACTCTGGGAGGCCAAAGTGGGAGGACTGCTTGAGGTCAGGAGTTCGAAACCAGCCTGAGCAAGAGTGAGACTCCATCTCTACTAAAAATAGAAAAAATTAGCCAGGCAACTAAAAATAGAAACAAATAATTAGCCATGCATTGTGGTGAGCACTTATAGTTCCAGCTACTCCAAAGGCTGAGGCAGGAGAATCGCTTTAGCTCAGGAGTCTGAGGTTGCCATGAGCTAGGCTGATGCCACGGAACCCTAGCCCAGGCAACAGAGTGAGACTGTCTCGATAATAAATAAATAAATAAAAATTACTAAATATCTAGAACGTGCCCAGGGCCTGCCTACCCTCTCTAGTCAGTGATCAGAAATGGTATTTACAATGTTGGATTCTCAGCCCACATCTGTTGCTAATATGATACAGCTGAGGTAGAATCTGAAACTCTTTAAATGTCCAAAGGGTTTTCTTTGCATGGTAAGAAACAGTAATAATCATCAGCACATCAAGCTCTCTAACCTTCCTGCCCTATCCCAAAGAAAGGAGAGATAGTGGACCACAAAGGACAAAAAGCTTAAAAACTTTAGGAACTAGAACCTACATTTTAAATACTATAGGAGCCGGTGCGGTGGCTCACGCCTGTAATCCTAGCTTTCTGGGAGGCCGAGGTGGGCGGATTGCTCAAGGTCAGGAGTTCGAAACCAGCCTGAGCAAGAGCGAGACCCGTCTCTACTATAAATGAAGAAATTAATTGGCCAACTAATATATATACAAAAATTAGCCGGGCATGGTGGCGAATGCCTGTAGTCCCAGCTACTTGGGAGGCTGAGGCAGGAGGATTGCTTGAGCCAGGAGTTTGAGGTTGCTGTGAGCTAGGCTGACGCCATGGCACTCACTCTAGCCTGGGCAACAAAGCGAGACTCTGTCTCTAAATAAATAAATAAATAAATACTATAGGAGAATACTGAATTTTATATGCCCTTATTAATTCACTTAATTTGACATGTGGTCTTGGGGAAAGAGTGCTTCTTCTGTGCTGGAGATGGCTGTTGACCATCCATACTCTGATTTGTAATGACATGCTACCCTGGCCACTCTGTGAGCTTGAGTGGTTTCAATGAAGCCCCTGGGAAGCTGTGTTCTGCAGAAATGATGACTCCATCAGTTGATGTGGGATCATGGGAGGAAAACTGGGGAAGCTGCAACTGAAAAACATCCTCACAGTCTTGTTACTTTATTAAACACTCATGTCAGAGGAGTTTGATTCCTGTGATATTAGACTATAGAATGAATTGATCAAATCCTTAGCCATCTTATTTCTATTATAATTCAGCTGATTTCTTTGGGGGCTGATATCAACAACTACAATACTTTATGACTTTCTAGAAAACACGTGCCATGTTTTTACACTGAGGACTCCCATCTGTGGAGCATGGTGTACTGAGGGAGCCAGCCCAAGCAATGACTTGCTAAGTGAACTCAAGTTAAGTGATGTAATCTGTATTTAAAATCCTTGTGAAAATGAGGGATTAGCTGCCTCTCCTAGACTAAGAAGGCCTGCTATTAATCATGACAGCACTCTAAACTCTCTAGAGATGCTATGAAATTTTGTAGATAGACTAAACTGTGCCTTATTGACTTGTGTGACTTGGGCAAGTCACTTCTCTCAGGACACATATTCCTCTGTAAAATAAGGAGACTGGATCAGGTCAAGGTTTACCAACTGTACTTACAGAACCCTAAATATTCCTAGGAGGTACCGAGTAATGGTAGGACACATTTCCCCAATCTGCACAGCTGCCTTCTTACTCACAGCTTAGGTTAAGATGGTAGGCTTGGCAGTTAGACCACCTGACCTCTGATAAGCTAGTTAACCTGTGTCTCAGTTTAGTCACATATTAATACAAAATAACTACAGTGTCAGAACCTACCTCAGAGAATTGAGAGGGATTAAATGCTTCAATAAATATGCTTAGAATATTGCCTGGCATGTAGTCAGTCCTTATTAAGTTGTAAGAAATTGCCGAAAACAAATATCAGTGACTTCATAATGGTTCAGCCTAACATACACACCCAGTACTTCTGTGTAAGGTACTTTTAAAGATAGGATTCTATATATTAAAAAAAAAAAAAATGTTGGGTTGAGCGTGGTAGCTCATGCCTATAATCCCAGCACTTTGGGAGGCTGAGGCAGGAGGACAGCTTGAGGCTAGGAGTTGAAGACCAGCCTGGGTAACATAGCAAGACCCGTCTGTACAAAAAACCAAAAATAAATTAGCCAGGCCTCGTGTGCACCTGTAATCCCAGCTACTTGGGAGGCTGAGGCAGGAGGATCATTTGAACTCAGGAGCTCAAGGTTACAGTGAGCAGTGTCTGTATCACTGCACTCCAGCCTGGGTGATAGAGTGAGACTCTCTAAAAAAACAAAAGTTGAAAATCAATGCATTAGATTGTTAATAGAGCCTTCCTAGCTTCTTGGGCGTTTCCAGCATTTTCTCTCATTGACTCTAAGCTTCCTGTTTCCTTTTTATTTTCTACAAGGGTTCCCAGTTTTTCTCAAATTCTCCCAATGCTACGAGAGGTAATGACATGTGGACTGGAAGTGGCTGGCTTTGGTTGAATAAGGCTGTGAATGGCATGAGTGAAAAGGAAGATGGAAGGACTGTTAAGAACACTGGAGGATAGTATGGGAGAATATTTGTGAGTGAAGCTAGAGGATATTTTAAAAATATCTGCAATGTCTGCTTAATGGCAAGACCTCTCTTAGCAACTATCCACTTGAAAACTAAGAAATTTCATACTTCATCAGTCCTCCCAGAGGACTGACAGACCTCCCTATTCCTAGCACAGGGAGCTTTTATTTTAGGCTGTTGTGACTTGAATGGAATGCCCGTGGTAAATGTTTTATGATCACTTAATTCCTAAATTTCACAAAAAAGTAGACACTAGATGGCCAAGTGAAGGTTTATATTCATTCACAAAAGACTTTTTGAGTCCCTCTAAGATATCAGATGCTTGTTTTCATTAAACTAAAGATGCCCACTAAAACATCGCTGGGAGAAACCTCAGCTGGGCTTTTGGAGCAACCACTATGGAGGAGGACTCAATGACTTTGGGTTTCTTTCCTCAAAAGCGCTGTTTCTATCCAGTCTGTTGTATGGCAGGAAAACAAGCTACAAAAATTACCCTGAACCGGTAAGAAACACTGAGGACTTTCAAGTAATACTTTAAAACCAACAAAAACTAGTAAGTAAAAGACAACATACTAAAAGGAAATCTGTATAGAACTGAAATGTGGGAAAAGGCAATTTTTAAAAAAATTGAAATTTGAAAAACATTATTACTGAAAATTAGCCAACAGCTCTATTTCCAACAATAACAATAATAACAAGGAATGATAAATGGGTGGGGCAGTGGAAAGACCTGCTTTATTTTTCTTTTCATATATCTTTTTCTATTATTTTCTGTGATTCTTTCTACCAGGTGAAGACCCACTTTATTAATAGAAACTAGAAGGTGAAACATTGTTCATTCTCTTGGCAACCATTTAATGAATATCAATGATGCAAAAGCCAGACTTAAGGCTGGGAGCGGTGGCTCACGCCTGTAATCCTAGCTCTCTGGGAGGCCGAGGCGAGCGGATTGCTCGAGGTCAGGAGTTCGAAACCAGCCTGAGCAAGAGTGAGACCCCGTCTCTACTATAAATAGAAAGAAATTAATTGGCCAACTAATATATACAAAAAATTAGCCGGGCATGGTGGCGAATGCCTGTAGTCCCAGCTACTTGGGAGGCTGAGGCAGGAGGATTGCTTGAGCCCAGGAGTTTGAGGTTGCTGTGAGCTAGGCTGACGCCACGGCACTCACTCTAGCCTGGGCAACAAAGCGAGACTCTGTCTCAAAAAAAAAAAAAAAAGCCAGACTTAACAATAGCCTCACATTTTCTATCTGAAACTTCATTTTTAAAGAACTTCAAGTACATACTTCTGAATAAATGGATCCATGAAGTGAAGTGACACAGATTATTATTTTCTGGTGATTTCCCTAAAGCCACACATAGCATGTTAGTAACAAAGTCAAGACCTGAACATGGGCTTTCTGCCTCTCAGTCTGGTGTTTTCTTACCAGGACTTCCCAGAGGCAAAACCCAAAACTTTACTATGGCCTAGGAAATTGGTGAGAATGGTAAATTGTGAATTTTGAGAAGTTTCAAAAAAATTTTTGCATCTAATTGCTCTGCTGTTCACTTAAATAGGGAGAGGAGAATGGTAGAAATAACAAAAGAAGGGAGAGGTACATTTTTACTGTAGTACAGTGGTGCAATTATAGCTCACTGTAGCCTCAAACCTCTAGGCTCAACCATCTCCTGCCCCAGCCTCCTGAGTAGCTGGGACTAAAGGTGCATGCCGTTAGCCTGGCCAATTTATTTTTTTGTAGAGACAATCTTGCTATGATGCCCGGCTGGTCTTAAACTCCTGGCCTCAAGTGATCCTCCTGTCTCAGCCTCCCAAAGTACTGGGATTATAGGCATGAGCTACCACACCTGGCTCAAAGGCACATTCTTAACTAGCCTGAGAAAAGCAATACAGTGAGTTGTTTAGAACAAGTGCTTTGAGTTAGACCATGCATCCTCAACCTGGACAACATTGCCCCAAGACAGAGAAAACACCTTCAATATTATAATGATTTGTAACCTAAAGGTCACCCCTACCCAACAAAATCTTATTCCTTAGTATGTAATTCCTCTTGTTAGGAAGAAAGTTCAATTAATGTAAATTCAATTTTAATGTATCTCCTTGGCAGGGAGGCAATAATAGGGAAAAAGAGGTTGAGAAACACGGAGTCAGCTAGACCTAGGTTCTAGGCCTGGATCTGTCACTCATTAGCCATGTGACCTTGGGCCAAGTTATTTAACATCTCTAAGCCGTAGCTTCCTCCTCTGTATCACACAGAACTTTTGGAAAGAATGTTCAGCACAGTACCTGGCACCTGGCAAGAACTCCAAAATGTTACTGCTATTTTCCTTCCTTATTTTATGGTTGGGAGAACTGAGGAAAATGGTTAAGTAAAAGGAGTCAAGGAATCAATGGTTAAGGGGATTGATATGATGCCACACCATAAGAAACTACAAATTAGTCCCCTGGTAGCAATAGCCACAAATATTATAGGTATTATCTGTGACTCCTGGTTATTCCTATGGCTTTGAAAAACTACAAATGATAGCACTCTGGGAGGCCAAGGTGGGTGGATCGCTCAAGGTCAGGAGTTCGAATCCAGCTTGAGCAAGAGCAAGACCCCATCTCTACTAAAAATAGAAAGAAATTAATTGGCCAACTAAAAATATATAGAAAAAATTAGCTGGGCATGGTGATGCATGCCTGTAGTCCCAGCTACTTGAGAGGCTGAGGCAGTAGGATTCCTTGAGCCCAGGAGTTTGAGGTTGCTATGAGCTAGGCTGATGCCATGGCACTCCCCTATCCTGGGTAACAAAGTGAGACTCTGTCTCAAAAAAAACCTAGCTTAGCTTACTGTTCTAATTCCATTATAAATAATGAAAGTTGCAGGAAGAGAACATAATGGGAGTTGCTCTGGTTATAGGAAGATTTCTGCATAGGAAAAAGCCTTGAGCACTTAATCTACATGATAATCTGTAAGGCTGAGAGGCTGGATCGTATCACTGGACTGCTTTGTGTTCCTTGGAAACTAGTGCTGAATAAATGTGAGCTAGATGCCATCTCAAATATCCTCAGAACATTCTTATATAATGTGAAGTAGGGGAAGTGACTTCTAGAATAATTCTCAGGGACAGAATGAAGCATGAGGATCCAAAGGTATCAGGTCACACACCACCTGCAGACGAGTCAGAGGGCAATTATCATTTATTAAACATTCTCTGGTTGCAAGCTTATGCCAGATGAGAACTCTATCCACAACCATGCAAAAATTCAAGAAAATGTTGCCTTAAATGGACTCTTTAGCTAGCTTAAGAGCTGTTTGTACCTTCTCTTCATTGCTGTTGCCTTACCAGTTTCACTCTTTATACACTAGAAGTAATTACCAAATATCCACTATGTACCAGATACTCTGTGGGGGGACTTTTCAGGGAGGATTTATAGAAGCAGCACCAAAACCCATGAACTATGTTTGTACCACATGTCAGGCACTGTACCAAGACCTAGGGAAAGGAGAGACAAATATACAAACCAAAGTCCTGCCTCTGATGGCGTATAACCTAGCTGGTGGACCAGGTCTGCATTTCTAAAAATCAGGGTGTGCCTTGATGTCAAAAGATAAATACAAATCACAGTTTAGAGTAGGAGAATGTTTAAATCATCAACTGAAAGTATTTTTTGGTACCTTAGGACCTTTCTCATCTCCCTAAACCATAGCAGATTTAATGGTGTAAGAAAGAGTCTTATTTGGTCCAGTATCTCCCATTCCTGGGGTAGGCAGGATATAGATGCACAGACTGCTGAGGTGGTGAGGCTGTTTCCTTCGACATGAGCACATCCCCAAAAGGGCTTATGAAAGAACAGCATAGCATAATGGGAACATGACAAAGTTTAGTCAGATGGCCTGGGCTTTCCACTTATTAGCTGGGAGGAGGACTGTAAAATGAGGATAATAATAACAATCCCTATTTAACAAAGTTATTGTGAGGAACAAAGGAGGTAATATCCACAAGCTACCTATTTGTAGCTCATGGAAATATGAAGAATTATGTATCTTTTGCCTCATCTTAAATTAGGTATCTGGGTACCCTCTATTAACCTAGTGGGACTATATCATAATTCCTTTTATATTTATTTTCCAGGCTTGGCTAGCCTGAGAGGCTTCCTTTTGTTTTATTATAAGAAGAAAACAAGCTGATTTATGGTCCTCCTTCTGCCTCTCCAAGAATGCTATTGCCAGTACTAATCTAAAGAAAATGGTAAAACTTGCCTCTGGCACTGATCTATAAGCCCTCTCTCCTGGCATTTGTTTGGCTCAGGGAGTTGAATAATAAGAACTAGCCACTGTCACTACACAATGTCAAGGGACAAAAATATGAGGCAAACCTGTAATCAATTCTGCAATATTAAACCAAAGGTGGTCTTTAGCTGCTTAAAGCTAAAATTAACCTGAATTGTCCCAAACTCAACTATGTCACCACATCTACCCAAAGAGTGCTTAATGACAGTAGATTCAAGAGAATTACTAAGTGGCTATTACACACCATGGGCTGTGCTAGGATTTACAAATGCAGGATGCTGTTTATGAATAATAATAATCATAGAGAGACATCAAAGGACTAGAGAGAGGGCTCTCCAAACCGCTGGTGTTGACAAAGATTTGATTTTCTTGCAATTTTGCCCTTGGTGTAAAATAAGTACCTTTTATTGGACTACACCCAGTTTGCCTCACAGAACTTGAAGAAATTATAACTTAGGTGACTAGGTGAACATAGTAATCTCCAGAGACCACAGGAGATTGCTGTGGATGGCAAACTGTTACAAAATAAAAGGAACAAAGATCTCAGATGGAAAGCTTTGTATACACTCACATCCTTCTCCTGGATGGTACACTCCTTACAATAATAGGCATCAGAGACTCCTGGGCCTCCACAGATCACACAGCGCCCCTGGTAAGAGCCATAGTTACACTCATCACATATTCGCACGAGGGTGCAGGGACGCACATAGGAGTCACAGATTACACACTTGCCGTCACCTGTAAAGAAAAAAGAATGGAGTCATCCTTACTAGCAAGTAATTCGAGTCCTCTGCCCTTCCCCCACAATGATGAAATACCATGTTTCTCTGAAAATAAGACAGGGTCTAATATTCATTTTTCCTCAAGAAGACACCCTAGGGCTTATTTTCAGGGGATGTGTTATTTTCCCCTCAAAGCCTCAGCTTGCAGCACGCACAGGATAGCTGGGATCTGACAGGGGGAACCAACCTTGTTGATGGGGCTGCCCGCACCTTTCCAGTCACCTCTGGGATAGTAGCTGTCACAATGGGGCAGATGAGAAGGGCTGCTCCTCTTTACCGCTCCCCCACGAAATGCATGGGTTGTGCAGACATGCGGTGTAGCCACGCCCATCACTAGGTCTTATTTTCGGGGTAGGGCTTATATTGCACAAATGCTTAGAAATCCTGCTAGGGCTTATTTTATGGGTAGGTCTTATTTTGGGGGAAACACAGTACAGTAGTTTCCTTTTTTTTGAGACAGAGTCTCACTTTGTTGCCCAGGCTAGAGTGAGTGCCCTGGTGTCAGCCTGGCTCACAGCAACCTCAAACTCCTGGGCTCAAGCGATCCTTCTGCCTCAGCCTCCCAAGTAGCTGGGACTACAGGCATGCGCCACCGCCACCATGCCTGGCTAATTTTTTGTATATATATTTTTAGTTGGTCAATTAATTTCTTTCTATTTTTAGTAGAGACGGGGTCTCGCTCAGGCTGGTTTCGAACTCCCGACCTAAAGCAATCCGCCAGCCTCGGCCTCCCAGAGTGCTAGGATTACAGGCGTGAGCCACCACGCCTGGCCAATAGTTTCCTTTTGATGGTGACTTTAGGTCCCTCCTCTATTTGGCATCACAAAACTAGGCTTATACATCCTAGTCCATCTCAATGGACTCAACGTGGAATAAATTAATTAGCTCACAAAAATACTAATCAATTAATATGTAAAGAGCTTAGAATAGCACTTGGGAGATGTTAAGTCTATGTAATTGCTGGCAATAAACTGTGTGTGTGCTGGGAAGGAATCATGTTATTCTGGCAATTCTTCCTGTTCAAAGCAACAGCTGTTCTTAAATCCTAAATGTAGTGTTTAAAATGTGCCAGTTGAAGTGGGGCGATCGAGGGGGCCTTTGGTTGTATTCTGGCAGTGTTCACACAGTTCCAGGCACATCTATTCGAACCCCTCTGTGGCACCTTTGCTGGCTCCAGGGCGAGTGGGAGTGGGAGGGGTGGGTGTTGGCAGGGCGTGTTCCACTCACATTTTTCACACAGTCTTCCAATGGCTGCAAGATCAAAGAGGGTAAAAAGTACAATCAGAATAACGGTTTTGACAAAGAGGGTAAGTACACGAGCAAGGACTGCAGTGAGCCCTGCGGGATGGCCATCTTATCCTCATATATTTCGATCTGAACCAAACCCACAGACCCGAGTACCCTGCTGAATCCCTCCCAGGTCCTGGGCAATCTGTAACAAGTTTCTCCGGACCATCCAGCCGCCTGCCTCTGGCTCCCAGCACGCGCGCTCCCGCCCTTTTTGATCTGAGGCCACAAACCCGCTCGCCCCGCGACTGTGAGGCAGGAAACGTGGCGCCTCCGCGGCAAGATCCTACGGAGGAGATGGGAACCCCCGATCCCCCAGCTCCCAATTCCACTCCAACCCAGACAGCCGAGGGCAGGGCGCTGCCTCACCAACGCCAGCCTGCTTGCGGCAAAAGATCAAATCTGGATGGTGTTTAGCCATAGCTCGCAGCCAACCCAGCCACCAGAAGCTTCGGGAACTTCCGCTCGACCTTTAACCTCCATTGTTCCTGCCTCCACGTCGCTGTGATTGGTCCTCTACGCATCCATCACAGTGTACAATCTCTGTACCAAACCCCGCTCGCTCTCGCGCGAGTTCCGTCGTTGCGGGGGGAGCTAGGTCCTGGCAGGTGCATGAACGTCTTGAAAAAAACCAAAAACTTCCCTCAGATTTGGATGGCAGAGACAATAAAAATTTGGTTTTGGATAAACATCTTTGTACCCGGTGTTTACTTCTGCAAATGTTTTTACGCTGCTCTTTTTTAAGCAGCATCTGTTCCTTACACAGGGGCTCCGCCCACTGCCTTCGCAGGGCTCCGGCGTCTCTAGGGAGCCCCCACCTTCTCCGTGACGCGTCGCTCTTCGGGTCACGCCCCCGGCCGAAGTCTTTAAATGCGCTGTGTTGCACGTCACTTTCAAGCGACTTCATCTTTGTCAGTGCACAAAATGGCGCCTTACAGCCTACTGGTGACCCGGCTGCAGGTGAGCGAACTCAGGGCCCTCTGGGTTCATGGGGGCGGGGTGCCTCCTACTGTGCCTGCTGTTGTGGGCGAGGCCGGCCCGACCTCGGGCCAACTTTTCGTTTACCTGTCCCAGTTGGCGGGCCCAGCACCTGTGCCCGCTCCTCTGGTGCCCTAGGTCAAGGCGTCCCCGGGCACAGTCAGCTCTCCCTGTCCCCGCTCAACGAGAAGCATGCGCCCCCGCAGCTGTGGCCAGGTGAAGAGCGAAGGCACCTCTTTCTCTTTTTTGAGGTCCGCACTCCCTGCTCCCGTAGGGTGTCTGTCTGTGCCTCAAGGTGAGGACAAGGTGATTGGGGGGCGCGGTCCTTTTTGAGCCTTCTAGGCTCAGTGCCTGAAGACCTCACTTCCCATCTCTCAGCAACAGAGGCTTGCCAGCCACGTGCAGCCAGATTGCCAGGCTTGGAGTCTGGAGAAGAAACTAATGCCCCTTACCACCTTTTGAGTGCCAAAAATGCCAAGCGGGGGGGGGTGTCTTCCAGGCCCCTAGGTAGTATATAATAATACCGTTAGTAATCGTCTCTCGCCTGTGCACATGATTTCAGGACTGTTTTAATGCCTCATAATATCTTTGAATCATATAATCAGGTGAGATAGGAGTGGGATGATTTTTCTCATTTGATGGCTGATAAAACTGCTAGAAAGTATGCGAAAGTTCTACCTCTCAAGAGTTTTGCTGGAGTGCTATGGCCTGAGCATTGGCCCTACCACCCCTCTGTTCTTGTTCGTGTCAGCCTGCCTTGACAGAACTTTCTGAGCCCAGGGTATAATCATTTGTATTTGTGAGAGTACAGAATGGAGTATTAGAGCTCACAGTTGCTTTTCAAATACGCTCTAGATGTGAGGATAAGGAGACTCAACAGTTTGACCTTGACTTTCCTGTTATGAGCCATTGAGAAAGCTATGACTGCCAGATGGTTTTTTCACTCCTAACTTGACAACCCTAGGAAGGTGTATGCTCAAAGGTTCAGTGTCAAATGTGTATTTTGTTAATAAAAACAAAGCAAGTGTCTGTAACAGTTCCCTGTCAACTTTTTATGATTAACTTTGTGAATCTTCTTTTGATCAAGTGGCACAACTTTGATTATAGAATTAAAAAAGAAGTTGTTCCGTGTTGTACTCTTGGGAAGCATTCTGTTACTTAAAGTTATTTTTTATCACATTGCTTAAATTTAAATCGTACAGCTTGTTATAAAGTTACCATTTATCAGAAGATACTTTTGATGTCAATTCTGAGCAAAGGCAATGAATTTCCATGTAATTATCTCTTTAAGTCTTTTGATTCTCTATGTTAATTATGTAGAAAAAGTTGTTTCGTCCTGATCTTGCTGTCCCAAGATTTAATGTAATCAGGCAAGATTTTCTTTTTTTTTTTGAGACAGAGTCTCGCTTTGTTGCCCAGGCTAGAGTGAATGCTGTGGCGTCAGCCTAGCTCACAGCAACCTCAAACTCCTGGGCTCAAGCAATCCTACTGCCTCAGCCTCCTGAGTAGCTGGGACTACAGGCATTTGCCACCATGCCTGGCTAATTTTTTCTATACATATTAGTTGGCCAATTAATTTCTTTCTATTTATAGTAGAGACGGGGTCTCGCTCTTGCTCAGGCTGGTTTTGAACTACTGACCTTGAGCAATCCTCCTGCCTCGGCCTCCCAGAGTGCTTGAGCTCGGGAGTTCAAGACCAGCCTGTGCAAGAGTGAGACCCCATCTCTACTAAAAATATAAAAAATTAGCCGGGCATGGTGGCCTTTAGTCCTAGCTGCTTGGGAGGCTGAGGCAGGAGGATTGCTTGAGCCCAGGAGATTGAGGTTGCTGTGAGCTAGGCTGATGCCACAGCTCTCTAGCCCAGGCAACAGATTGAGACTATGTCTCAAAAAAAAAAAAAAGAAGAAGAAGACGCGAGGAATGGTTATGGATTTATTGAGCTTGGAAAAGAGGAATAATATCACAGCATTTTTAAACCGAAAAGGATCTTGGAAAATATGAATGTTAGACTGGTGTCAAGAGAGATCTGGGTTATGGTTCATGCTCTGTGCTGATCCTGTGACCTTGAGCAAGTTACTTCCTGAATCCATCATCTATCAGTTGGGGATAATCTTCATTGAACAAATATTTATCGAGTACTTGGGTTTTGTAAAGTGATGAACAAATAGAATGTGTTTCCAACCTCGTTTTTTACAAATGGAGAATCCAAGTTCTTGAGAGCCTGTGTGACTTCCAGAAGCAGGATCAGGATTAAAATTCAGGTCTCCGTGTTTGTTAATTCAGCTAAGATGAATGAACAATATTATGCACTTAGCATAATATCACACTACCTACCAATAGCCATGCTGTCTCAAGTAGTGACCAACTAACACTGTCCTCTGAGAACCTTGTAAATTTACCTCTTGCTTAGATACATTTGAGAAGTGATGGTTACTGCCTTGATAGTCATGTTTGCAAAACCCTATCCATGTAGTCAATTCATTCCTACATCATTCACCACATATTTACTGAGCACCCACTGCTTGCTCTAGATACATTGATAAGCAAAGAAGACAATCCCTGTTCTCATGGAGCTTCCATTATATTCTAATGTACTTTACTGCAGAGGGCTTGGGAGATCTTTCTCAGCCAAAACACAGTATTTTTCTTCTGCTCTTGGTTGGACCAGAGGTGAAGGTAGGTAATAGAATGATGGGTATTAATTACTATTACCACTAAATGTAGCGAACATTTACCTTATAGTGTGCCAGTAATTTCTCATGACTCTGTGAGAGAAGGCAGACATGTTAGCCCTGTTTTTTATTTATTTATTTTTTTTGAGACAGAGTCTCACTTTGTTGCCCAGGCTAGAGTGAGTGCCATGGTGTCAGCCTGGCTCACAGCAACCTCAAACTCCTGGGCTCAAGCGATCCTTCTGCCTCAGCCTCCCGAGTAGCTGGGACTACAGGCATATGCCACCATGCCCGGCTAATTTTTTCCATATATATTAGTTGGCCAGCTAATTTCTTTCTATTTATAGTAGAGACGGGGTCTCACTCTTGCTCGGGCTGGTTTCAAACTCCTGACCTTGAGCAATCCGCCCGCCTCGGCCTCCCAGAGTGCTAGGATTATAGGCATGAGCCACCGCGCCGGCCTAGCCCTGTTTTTTAGATAAAGAAAAAGGATCAGAGAGGGAACATAGTATAATTGTTATGATCATGGACCCTGGCATCAGCCTGTCTGGGTATTATAAAATAGTTGCAAAGTATTTATAACCCTGCCCAGTACTTAGTGTTACGTAATTGTTAAATAAGATAAATTTGCCTAGGGCCTTATCTAACTATTTGTTAGCAGATGTGACTTCAATCTGTACACTTCTGATTTCAAAGCCTGAAGGCTTAGCAACTGGCACTGTACTGCTTCCCTTTGGCATCAAGACTCAGCCTGTGGATCAGAGCAACACTGATGTTCAATAACCAAAGTGTGCTGTTGTTGGACATTACCTGCTACCAGGTAGTAAGATTAGAAACAGTCAAGAAAATAGGTGAGATTTTTGAAAAGCCACATTTACTCTCTTGTTTTTAATGTTTATTTTTGTGCATATGACTATGGATGGTACATAACGGGGGTTGGGCACTCACAAATATGGTTTGTCAGGCCTTTGGTTTGCCTTGGGACACTGGGGTGCTGAGGTTTCATGTGACTTTGGGGAAGTGCATATAAACATGGGATGGCAGTTAACTACAAAGAAGTCTGACATATTTGGCAGAAGTTCTCTATATAAGTGCCACATTTAAAAAAAAATTGGTTTCAATTGTGAAATAGGTTATTCTGGTTACATGGTCACTGTGATACCTTCCCAAGTGTCAGGTATTGAGTAAGACCCTGTCTCTACAAAAAATAAAAAAAATTAGATGGGTATGGTGGTGCGCTCCTATAGTCCCAGCTACTGGAGAGGCTGAGGCAGGAGGATCACTTGAGCCCAGAAGTTTGAGATTGCAATGAGCTTTGATGACGCCACTGCACTCTACCCAGGGCAACAGAGCAAGACTCTGTCTCAAAAAAAATAGTGGAGTTTATATTGTAGTCCTGGGGAAAATAAACAAGTAGAAAAATAAGAAAATTGTAGCTACTAAGTGCCATGAGGATTATAAAATAGGATAGGGAGGTAGAGAGAGTGTGGGTGGCTTTAACTGGGGTGGCTGGGGAAGACCTCAAAAGAGTTTGAACTTTGATGATAAGAAGGCAGCTATTCAGCATGTTAGGAGGAGAGACTTCATGTAGAAAGAGCACGTGCAAAGAAAGCTCCTGAGATAGGTATGAGCTTAGTGTGTTGAGGCTAAGAACTAAGGTCAGTGTGGCTAAGGTGTCGTGAGGAGGGCGATGTCTGAGCAAGGGGGTGGGGAGCCAGGGTCATGTGGGCTTCGGTAAGGAAATTGAGTTTTACTCAAAATGTAGTGCAAATCCACCAGAAGGTTTTAAGCCAGGGAGTGACATGATCTGATTTAAGCTTGAGAAAAACCATCCAGGCTGCTGCATGGATGATGTGCCATGGAAGGTCAAAAGAGGAGGCAGGGTCCCCACTGGACTTGTCCAGGGAGTGGTAAAGGTGTCTGGGACAAGATAATGAGATGTGTTCAGAATCTGGATATATTTTGGAGGCAGATAGGTTGGATAAAGAATCTGAGAGAGGCTGGGCACGGTGGCTCACGCCTGTAATCCTAGCACTCTGGGAGGCTGAGGGGGGGCAAATTGCTCAAGGTCAGGAGTTCGATACCAGCCTGAGCAAGAGTGAGACCGAGTCTCTACTATAAATAGAAAGAAATTAATTGGCCAACTAATATATATAGAAAAATTAGCCAGGCATGGTGGCCCATGCCTGTAGTCCCAGCTACTCGGGAGGCTGAGGCAGTAGGATTGCTTTAGCCCAGGAGTTTGAGGTTGCTGTGAGCTAGGCTGACGCCATGGCACTCACTCTAGCCTGGGCAACAGAGTGAGACTCT